GCTTTCAGTGCAGAAAATGTTAAGACAAATACCATGACAAGGGCTTTCTGTGTCGGTCCTTTAAAAACACAACCCACGTGCATTAGGATATGAAAAATACAATGCACAGGTAGCAGTGCCTTTTTCACTTATGTGCAGCATATTTAGGCAGTTGCATTTTGGGCTACTCAGTCTTGTGTCTTCAAGTCACTTGATGCATATTTATGGCTTAAGAGGTTTTTCCATCATCTGCAATCCAAGCCGTCCAACCATCAGTAAACTGTGGAACAGAATAGTTATAAAAAAAGGTGGTGGAGGCAAAAATCCCATAAAAAACAAGAAGGAAGAAAACATTGACATCATTTCATTTACCTAAACACCACCACATGATTTCATTTTTCACAGAACTCACCATGTTACATTTTTAAAACAATATAATCCAGAAATAAGCTAAATAAAATGTTTATTCAATAACAGAGACAAGAACAAAGTACAGGTGGTTACCTGGCACCGGCAATTATCCCGGGCATTGCCTTTTTGGAGTTGTAAAATCTCATTCCCATAACAGTAGACAAGGTGCCAGATGCCACTGTTGAAAAGAAGCCCAGTCAGAACCATTTGACACAGAAATGCCAGCACAGCATTGCCACACTCAGACACTGAGCACACCACACATACAGACAGGAGTGCCTCCCTCTGGGAGTAAACTATTTGATTCTCTTCAGCATCAAAGCTGTCATTAGAAGCTTCTCAGCAGCTTTGGTAAGCATGCTCCACAGCTCAGCAGAAGCAAGGAGATCTCACCAGGGCTGAGACCACGGTCTGATCCCCCAAAAACTAATCCTCTGAACAGCTGTCCCTCAACCCTTACTTGCAAAGAATGATTATTCCCTCAAACACAGGCAGGCTCAAGACTGCCAGAAGCTGGGATGGTGACAGTATTCCTAAGTGGGAGGTAAATATTATTTACACTTCTCATTTCTCTGTAACATTCTGAACTGGAAAGTGGCAGCAAATACTACAACTGGATAGAAAACAACCCCACTTGAAAATATTATTAGAAAACAGAAAGATCCAAAAGATCAAACTGAAAGAGCAATTAACTTCTTAGACATTACTGCAAATTATTTTATCTCTAAATGTAGAAAAGGAATCCCATCAACATTCACATGAAATTTACAGGGCCATTGTTTCTTTGAAGAAGAAAGGCAGATGAAAGTGCAGTATACCTTTTTCCAAAGCCTCAAGTTTGTTTGCATCAGACAGGGTAAATACCTTTTAGAGACACTCTGTCAAGGTTCTATTTCTGCATTTCTACCCCTGATGTACTGGGACCAATTTATAGCTCTGCAGGAGCCATAGCTGCACATTGCAAGGAGGGATGAAGAGCTGTACTACACTGTGACACAGCACTGCTTTCAAGAGGTCCATTTGAAAACACTCCATGCACTACATCAGGATATACAAAAGCTGCTCATCCCTCCTCCATGCCTAAAAATCCGTGCCAGAGATGCAAAGCCACTCCCACAGCATGCCAGAGTGGAAGGACATTTCACAAATGGAAATTGTACTTTACATTGAGCTGCATTTTATATTTCATTCCTTACTGATGAGGTTGGTCCTCTATAGTGGCCTTTCAGCACATTAGTCCTATTGGTTTAAAATAGTCTTAAATCACTAAGCTAAAGTATCATAGCACTAGTAACACTATGGAGTAGTTACAGAACTAGCAGGATCCTCAAGAAGTCATCCAGGATACCCTAGTGCCTAAAGGCACAATCAGTTCCTGATAGTGGTTTAACCTCAGATATTACACTCCTGCAGCAAAGGAACTCCCTGAGGTCCACCTGAGTGCTTCATAATACTTTCCACAGTGATTTCATCCTTCTCCTTCCCCTGCAGAAGATTTAACTGCAAGCTTAACACCCACAACTTCTATTAAACTCTACTGAAAGCAAGCAGAATAGATCACTGCCCCTTTTCTTCAACATACTCTTTCTTTCAGAGTGTGTGATGCATTAGAACATGTACTGCTCCTTTGAGATGCTTGTGCAAACCAAGGTTCCCTAAGGCCACATACCACTTGTCACACTGCTGTCACTATTGCAAAAATATTGCTTATTCCACCACCACAGGCTAAAAACGCTGCTTCACAACCAAAAATGTTTCCTGCACCTAATGTGTTGGTGTAACACATTATCTAATCTGGCAGAGGACACAGGTGTTTCTCACCAGCTCTGGATTCACACAGAACAAAAATTGTGCTCTTACACAAATACCTCCTGGCTGTGGGCAGGGGGTCCCGCCACCACTTACAACATTTGTATAGGTACAACGGCACAGGGCAGCTGAAACATGCTAAGAGAAAAAAAGGTTACTGTTCCTACTGCTACCAGTAACACTCAGTACTCGGCTGCCGAGCAAACTTACCGAGGGAAAGCCACACATTCTTTGGATCTTTGGACTGCTGGTACGCGCCTAGCCCCGCTAAGCCGCCGAACAGCAGACCGGCAGCTAGAGACGGGACGCTGCCTTGAATAAAGAATAAAGCAGTCAGCGGAAGAACAGAGAGGCTGACACGCAGAGCCAGCCTGCACGCCAAGGGAAAGCACTCTGCCACTTCTCCGTTCTAGTAAATCCACAAAACCAATCTAACTACTACAGCATTAGGGCTCAGGTTGAGGGGTTTGGAGAGTTTTTTAACACACTTCCTAGACCTCCGCGAGCACCGTTTCGTTGCACTTATTTGGTAGCAACAAGGACTGAGCGGCACTTGCGGTGTCACCGCCGCCAGCGGCCCCACAGCGGGGCGGGGCGGAGCGGAAGGGAGCGGAGCGGGGGCTGCCTGCGGGCACGGCCGGGACAGGGACAGGCACGGCCACCAGCACCCACCTGCCTTGGCGTAGCCCACGACACCGCCCGCCGCCACCAGCGCCGCGTAGCCGAAGCCCAGCCAGTCATACTCCATCTGCGGGCAACCGCGGAGACAGACAGCCACGGCAGCGCAGCGCAGCGCAGCGCAGCGCCGACCTTGGGCCGCCCTCACGCCGCCCGCCCCGCCCCGCGCCGGGGCCGCCTCACGGAGGCCCCGCCCACCGCCCATGACAGGGCCGCGGGGCCGGGAGGATTTGCTTGCTTGACTGCCCACCAGTAACGCAGTTTTCCAACTTTTCCAAGTCAGAAATGAAGCAGGAAACACCCACCTGTTATAAATGAAAGCTTGACTAGGCCAATATTCAAGCAGCAATCAATTTATTTATCATTATGGTAAAGTATGAGCAATACAGCACTGGGTACAGTGGGGGAAGTTTTCCCTCCAACTGCACACCGATGGTTGAGGCTTACAGGTATTTATAGGGGTACTCATCAGCTTTCTCAGCAGTTTCTAGTCCCAATTTTTACTCATCAACAGTTTCTATTCCAAATTTTTACGTCACAATTCTATACACTATTGTCATCTAGTTTTACTCAAGAAGTATCCCAGAGAGGAGTATCCCCAGATGGTCCCCACGTGATCCAGTTTCTGAAAGAAGGAAGAAGCATCCCATCTGGTGAAGTCCAGCTCTCCGGATGTGGGTCCTCCTTTTGATTGCAAGGAATATAAATCTTATAACAGTGACGTCCAGCTTCCCTTGGTCGAAACTATTAATCCTTGAGTTGATGTTCATCTTCCTTTCTCAAGCTGCTTTTCACTGTTTTGTTAAGGTGTGAGATAAGCATGTTTCCTTTATATATATTCCAATGCTATAGTTTCAAGGATACAGGCAATATTCTAAAATTATACCTCAAAAGGTTATTATTACAAAACTCTTTAAGGATTAACTACAAGCAGAAAGTTCCTGTCAAAAAGCAACATCCTTAAAGCTTTAATTCAAATGCTCCTAAATCAACTTAAGACTTATAAAGGTTAATTGTGAACAAAAGATAGGTTCAAAGGCCTTCTTCCATGCTTTACTTTCCTCAGTTATTATTAGAATTCGTCTTTATGACTGTCCCATGGTCGATTTCCACACATACTACAATCACAAATACACACATTGCCTGTATGTACCCGACATAAAACACAGCTTTGTATTTCACCCACCTCCCCTTCTCCTCCCAGGCTCGGCATCACCCCGCCCTGCCAGGGGGTGGGAAGTGCAGGTTGTGGTCGGTCCATGGCGCCTCTCTTGCGCTGCTGCTCCCTCCTCACACTCCTGCCGTGCCCTAGCGTGGGGTCTGTGAAAAATGCGTGTTTTATGATTGGCTTTTCGCAAATATTAAAATGAATAGTATATGTGTTATTTTAGAAAGTTATGCTGTATTAATTTATTTAGTAGTGTGTTAAGTATAGTTTTAGGTTATAACATAATGTTAAAATAGAAACTATGCTATGTAAGATACTTTTTAAAGAAAGGACTCACAGCAAGATAGCAGCCACAGGACACCTAAATCTTTCAGAGAAAGTGAATTTGTTGCTCTCTTATCAGAAGAAACGAACTTCTTCTCGCCTTTCTCAGCCATGAAGACGCCGTTAGGATTAAGAGGAAGAAGTTGACACTGACCAGAGAGAATCCTGTATTTGAATGGAATTTATGCATCATGTATGAGATGTATGAATATGCAACCAGCTATTATTTTTAAGGGTTAATCCTCTGTTAACATGGGTCATTTTTCGGGCTTGTTTTGCCCAGAAAAAGGTTCCTGGACATCCATAACTCTTTGTTTTTATTGTCTCATATTGTCCTAATCCAAATTGTCCAAATTATTATTACTCTAATTATATTGGTTTTTTATAACCATTTTATTATCATTAAACTTTTAAAATTTTAAAAACAAGTGATTGGCATTTTTCACAGGGTCCCTCCTATGGGAGACAGTCCTGCTCAACCTGCCACAGCACAGGTCCTTCCATGGGGTGCAGTCCTTCGGGAACAGGCTGCTCCAGCGTGGATCTTCTGCGTGGTCACAAGTCCTGCCAGCACGCTTGCTCTGGGCTGCAGCTTCTCCTCTCTGCAGCTTCAGCTTCCCCCGGGGCACATTCACCCACTCCAGTGTGGGGTCCTCCTTGGGCAGCAGGAGGATCTCTGCTCCGTGGGCTGGACAGGGGGCTGCAACCTCCACTCCTGCACCTGGAACAACTCCTGTCCTCCTTCTTCACTGACCTTGCTGTCTGCAGGGTTGTTCCTCCCAAAAGGTTCTCCTTCGTCTCTCCAGCTGCTAATGCTGCTGTGCAGTGAATTCTTTCCGCTTCCTAAATACCTTATTACGGAGGTGCCACCACTGTCGTCATGAGTTGAGACTTGGGCAGCAGCAGGTCTGTCCTGGAGACAGACAACCCAAACATGACGGTTGGTCCTGGCTTCTCCTCTCAGAGGCCAAGCTTGCCCTGGAAGCCCAATCCAGATGTCAAAAGAAGGCATCTGGATTTCTTGGCAGCTGTGCTGAGGATGCCACACGTGTGCAGAGCGATGGTGGTGTTCTGCTACAGGGCACAATCCCCAGCACCAGGGGCAGCAGCCAGCCCGGCACTGCACTGGATGCATTCCTTTGTCCCGAAGGCAGGCTTGCTAACTGGTGTCCATTGCCAATTCACTCACTGAGACAGGTCTTACCATCCTTCATTCTAGTTTGCGCAAAATACCCAGCTGGTTCCGCTCGCTTGTTATCAATACTTTACATTATGTATACATTTTAACAAACTGATTGCACTATTTATACATTGTAACAAACTAAGGCAGAAGCATCCATTGGTAATATAACTTTCCTATAATTACTACTTGACCCCCTGTCTATTTGCTAGTTATATCTCTCACTTATTATGCTAATCCACAGGTGCAGTTCTCTCCATTTTAGTTTAAGCACCTAATCAAATCAGGTAGAAAGGTTTGGTGTTACCTACTTAACACCATTGTTTTGCCTTGAGTGCATTAGAAATAGGCCTTTCTAGGCCTATTTTAATGCCTGTTTCCAGCCTCTTCAGGTGCCCCTCACAAAAATGACATTCACACACCAGCCAATTGTTAACCATTCTTTTGAGTAAGCTTTCATGCCCACATAGCAAACCACCACTGTGCTGGCAGTCACCAGCCATGAGACAGCAGGATTTGCTAGGCAAAGACCTTTTCTTGGGTGACCCTCTCTTACCAAAGGTCTGAATCTTCCCTGGATTCCTAGAGTGGGGAGAGGACGGAGATGGAAAGCAAAGCCATAGCTAGACAGGTCGTACTGGAGGGTGAATCTGGAGCAATGAAAATTCGTCTTTGTTTAAATCCATTGAGAATGATTTGCAGAGGGTCATCAAAAGTGCATTTTAAGCATTATGTCAAGCTGTTAATTAGATGTGTGTATGATCACAGGCTGGTTCCTGGTGAAAGCTGAAGGTGTCGATCTATTCCTGCACATCACAATGTGATACCTCACCGTGATTTTGAGACCATCCTTCATTATGTTTGCAGCACTTTCATTCATCGTTTGGTGCTGCTGATGCCACTGCTGACCTCACAGCTCACATAAATCACAATCTTTGATGCTTTAACGGAATTAGAAACCGGTGACTGACTCAGAAGCCAGTGAGCAGACAATCCTACTGGCTGCTTCTGTTTAATGCCTCTTGTGGCTATGCTATGATTTATTCATGGGTGCCAATGCTCCAGCCTTGCATTTGTGGGTTTGAAAATGATACGTTTGTGGTAGCTGTGTGCTCACAAATTAAGTGAGACAAGGTTTGAAGGATAGGGCAGAGGAATTGATACAGCCAACAGAGGAATGCAATATGCAAGAGAGAAAACAAAACCAGATTGCAAGCTCACTGAAGTGTGCTCGGATTTTTCTTTGTTCTGCATCTGTGGGTGCCCCTGGAAGTGTTCCAGGTCAGGCTGGGTGGGGGCCTGATCTCGTGAATGGCATTCCTGCCCATGGTAGGGATTTTGGATCTAGATGATCTTTAGAGTCCCTTCTAACTGAAACCATTCTATAATGCTGTAATTCTACATACACATTGCTTTCATTACTAAAGTGAAGCTGGTTACCTTGGCAAAAATCTGGGGGGTGTTTTTGGTTTTTTTTGTTGTGGGTTTTTGTTTTTTTTTTTTTTTTTCTGCTCTGCCATATTTATAGAAGACAAAGCTGTGGAGGTGCACCACAGCTGCTGAACTCAATCACTGCTGTCACTGCTGTAGAGGGGAGTCTAACCTTCCTTAACATCCTTCCTACCAGACACCCCCCTTCAGTTTTTCATCTTTCCCTGTCTTTTACTGCTATTGCAAATTAACACCAGTATGGTAAGGTCTCACTGGTTTCGATACACTTCTTCAGTTTGGCTGCCAGAAATAATTTTGTCTCTTCTACAGTGAATAAATGTATTGTTCTTTCTACAAAAAAAAAAAAAAAAAAAAAAAAAAAAAAAAAAAAAAAAGACTGATAAGGCAGGTGTTGCGGTGTTGCACTTAAAAATCAGTCACACAGTGAAAGCAGATTAATTTACTTACAGAAAAGCATAACCTGGAGTAGCATTCATGAAAACAAAGCAAAACAAAACAAAATAATTTTAAGCCCCCTTAACTGACATATGGACAGAAATCTGTGATGTTTTTCTGGATTCTTACTTGAATAGGTAATATAACCCATAATGTATCTGTATACCCATAAAATATCTGTTTTTCTTCAGGTTCAGAGTGCTACATGCCATTATATCCATCAATTTCAAACTGTCAAGCTCATTGCTTCTGCTGCTGAGTGACATTTTGCTATTCATCTCTGGAGTCTGAACAATGAAATATGATGTTGTTTGTACTCTGGGCTACTTTAAATACTCACACAAAATGGTGAACACAGCTTTATTTTATTTGGGATTTTTTCAGTTTGGGAAATATTCAGCTTGTTAGACCAAGGACGGGATGGACTGGTCCCAGATCTCTCTTAAGTCTCTAGACCTTCCTAAAACTCTCTATTTGAAATAATTGCTCACTCTGCAATATTTCTCTCTTTAGCTTCCTCCATGACAGCGGGATAGCAAAGCCCTCTTCCAAATACTAAGCAGAATTTCTTCTCTGGAGGTAAACTTTTGGTGCCTCTCTGCCGGAATCTGCATCATTAGGTGTTGACTGCTCTAAAAGCAGAACAAGCTGACTGAGGCAGATCCTGTCTGTTCAGAACCTTCCCTGCAGGTTACCAACCACCCTCCAGGACATCTGAATGTCTTGTGTTCTTGTTACAGAACTGCTGCAGTTTGCAATCCAGTTTGTTAAAAGACCCTGAAATTAGCAATGTTTTCATAAAGTTGGTGGTAAACTGCTGTTATTCAAGAGTTATTCTTTGGGCCATCACTGCTTGCTCAGAAGAAAGGCAGGAGAGCAGCACACAGTCTCCCTAGATTCAGGCACCCCAATTTTTACTGCTTTTGTGCAGTGGGTCACTCAGCAGTGCTGCTAACATGCCATGTGAATACAACCACAATAGCTAGAGGGATAAGCGTCCATAGGTTTGCTTCCTTGCATTGTTTTTAGGACATGATGACTGATAGCCATGACTTTTGTCTTCTGTTTGCCACACTAAAATATTCTCAAGCCTTCGTTTTTTTCTTTCTTTATTTTTTTTCACTCTGCAGCGTACTAGGTCGGTTGAGATTTTGTGCCCTTTACGAAGAGTTTGAAGGGAAAACCTGCTCAGACGTTGGATGCCTCCCTCTAGTGGCTGTTACTGTGGAATTAAAATGGGGCTGTGATCTACCAAACCCAAGGCTGTGTTTGCATCAACCACTGTATGCCACGAAAGTGAATACACTTGGGAAGTCTTAAGAAGCCTTATGCCACATCAAGATACAAACCAGAAACACTACGCTATTGCCAAAGCCTGGTTACTGCTTTTTCAGTCCTGAAAATACTCATCTTCCCCACATTCCATCTCTCCCTCTGTGCCCTTACAGAGGACGGTCTAAGGACACTGATGAACCAAAATCTGCATGTAAATAATTATTTTTAATTTTTTTCCAGTTCACTTAGTCAGCCAAGTAAGACAAATATGCAAGCCCCTGTTTTTCAGACATGGACTCCTGTGTCTAAATCCCTATCTGATTTTTCTTACCAGGCACACTGATCTAGTAAAAGATCCTGTTTGTTCTTACAAACCTTGTCCCAACAGATATTTAAAGAACAGGTATGATCTGGGAAATGTAGCATCTTTATTCCGTTTCCAGTAGTTTTCTGTTATTCTCTGTAGTAAATATCAGTATCTTTGATAGAACTATATCTATATGTATAGCCAGAAGTTGTATTCCTGTGTTTAAGATCTTGCTGATTGTGATTCATTACACTTGTCATTTAGACACAAAAATTGTCAGGAATGCATGGCTGTGTTTGTATTTTTGTAGAAAAAGATAGCAATGACTGGGTAGCATGACAAAAGTTGGAGCTAGAAAATATCCCATTAAAAATGACAAAAATGGAAAGCTTCTGCAGCTTCAAGAGGAGCTTTGCCCTGGTGTCTCCTTTAGGATCTTCATACTTTGGTCTCCAAGTGTTAAGTGATTTGCAGGCAGTGTGAAACAACCCAATCCAAGCTGCATTTACAGAACATCCCTAAAAATGCTGTCTCATGAGTTTATGCTCTGACACCTCAGAAATTAAGATTGCTATTTCTATTCTCTTGACTGCTTTTAGTGACATTGTAGGCTGGGGTGTTGTCACCTGAAAACAGCAGTTGAATTTCCTCTGTCAGTGAAGAGAAACCAATACTTTTACCCACACTAGATTTTCCACTAATTCTGGGTGCTATTTGTGTATTTTCACTGGTTTCAATATAGTAATGTTGATGTGAAATTGCTGTCATTGAAGCTGACTGAAGTTCTCAATTTATTTTTCTCATCAATACACATAACTATGTTATCGATTAGGGACTTTTGAAACCAAATATTTGTTGCTAGCACAGAAAGAAAAGATGGAGAAAAATGTACACATTACCATTACAAACTCCATGGCTCTCTTCCATATCAATCCACTTCACCACTTCCACTTCCCCATCAGGTGCTGGCCATGGATCCTGGGACTTCTGAAACTAGGTAACAGAAAATCAAATAGTTAGTCCTCTTAAGTACTTTGTTTTCAGGTTTATGTGCACTCTCTGGGACCTTTCTCCACAGAGCTGGGGTAAAATGCTTTGGGATACACATCAACAGATGCCTGGCTGCTAACATGGTTGTCAAGTTTCTTCACTGAGAGCAGCTTTCGTGACACAGACAAGATGTCAGCACAAAAGACCTAAAGACTTCATTTGAAAAATAAAATCCCTCTTCTGCAGCAACCTCAGTATGATACTGCACATGATCATTCATGTAACCTTCCCAATCAGCACTGCCCTCCAAGTGCTATTTCAGCACTAACACATAGTACC